TTAATATATAAATCAATTTGTTTCAATTTTGTGTTTACTTATATTAATCAACTGTTACAATTGCCGATACGTGTGGTATGTATAAATTGAATATAATATATATGTATATTTATATTTTTCTTTTTTTTTTTGTATAAATTATACTTTCAATTTTTTATTTGACCACGTAGAATAATTGAAAAATTTTCCGAATAAAGGAAACAAATTGTTTCTCTTTTTTTCTCTTCATTTCTATTTAAGTAAAATGTAAATGAAATTACGTTGAGTAAAATAATAATGTGGAAAAGAAATATTTAATGAAGCTTTGAGAAAAAAACAAACGCGGTAGAAAATTAATTGGAACGTTACTGTGGCTCAAATTACGCGTCAGTTTTAAAAGTGGATCTTTCAAAGAGAAATAAAAATACATTTACATGTTGCTAAAAAGTACACTTTGCCAAGCTCGTTGTTAATGAAAAAGTTAAAAGCCTAAATCACTTCTTATATATATATATCTTTTTCTTTCTTTTTCTCTCTTTCTATTTGCCATTGTCTACACGTTAATGTTCTTGGCTGCAACACAAAGTTCTCTTATTTCTAGCAAATAATCCACAACGAATATTTCGTCTGGTATAATCCGTGTCGAAACGTCATACAATAAATGTGACGACAATCCTTGTTCATGTCGATTAACATAAAAGATCAATGCCTAATTTTAGACAGGACAGAGAAATTGACAAGAAATTTGTAACATCGTTCAAGCATATGCATATATATATATATATATATATATATATATTCCATATTTGCCTTCCACCAAACTTCATTAATTATTAGAACAAGTTAACGAACCTACAAGCGTTCGAGCTTTCCAATTAATTAAGAAAATTCATTTAGGTTCGATATCATGCCCCACTTATAAATATCCTTTAAATCAACAGATATTAAAAACTAAATTTTGCTTTTAAGTTTTTGGGACAACTCTAAAAAAAAAAGAAAAAAAAAGAAAATAAACAAGGAAATTCGAGAAAAAAAAATACTATAACATACGATATTTCTTAGACACTTTATATTATTTTCCATAATTTATTTTAGATTATTTTTAAATCCTTTCTTCTCTCTTCCTTCGTATTACAATTTGTCCATATATTCCATCATACTAATCTTCTTATTTCTATTTTTAATTCTATCCTTACTTATATTCACGAATTAAATAATACATTGTTGGAGGATTGAAATAAAAAAAAAAAACAAAAACAAAAAAAAGAAAAAGAAAACGATAATTAATGATTATCTTTTCTAGGTGTTTTCTTATCGCGAAGGTTACGAACAAGAAATAGCAAAATCCGAAGAGAAATTACAACGTGCGAGAGCTGATTATAAACGTTCTTATGCGTCGTTATTAACGAACGAAGGTGGAAACGAGACAGAATTGAAGCGAGCTTACCTCGAAGCTCACAATGCTTATGTTCTTCAATTGAGAGCTACCAATGCAATCTGTGAATGTTATCAAACCAATTGTTTGCCTGGTTTACTGGATGAAATAGCTGAGGTCTATGAGGAACTTTGCGGATTGGTTTGCAAATGCGTTGCTGGAATATCGGAGGCAGCTTACGAACGTACAACCGAACAAGCGAAACGTTATCAAAATGTTAGCAAAGATGCTCAAACTGTTATGCCAACTAACGATTTGCAGGTAGACATTAATCTTCATTCCACTTTATTATATTATTATATAATCTTCTGTTTATATATAAATATATATATAGAAGAAAAATTGATTCAACAAAATAATGAATTATCTTTGATAGATATACACAATATATTCTTGACACTCTTATCAATCATTTTGACGAATAGGAGAACACATAAGAAAAAAATTGTTTCATCATATTCCGATCTTGTCTTCGGTGTTACTCTTGTTTCTTAGTATTATATTCATAGATATTATATGTATACACACATATACGTATACGTATATAGTAGTTCCTGTCAAATTGATCAAACATTATTCTATTGCTAGCCAACGATATTGCAACGTTCACGTAACATGTAGAATAGATCGTGCCTGATCAAATTTGTTCACTATCTACTTGTACACGCAACCCCTGACGATAATGTCCAATAAGGTCATCAAACTAAACACGTTACTATCTATTAAACGGTAGAAAGTATCGTCGGTGTTGTAACGCGTTCGCAAGTTTAATTATTTCATTAATTTTATTTCTTTTTTTTTCTGTTCCATCGAGATCAAACAAACACAAATTCAATAAATAATTTCAAATAACGATGAAATTTCTCTATCACGATCGCGAGTATCTTTTTCATTTGTTCTTCTTAATTATTTAATTAGATGAAACTAATATTGGAGGTTTAATAATTAATTTGTATATATAATACAATATGTGTAATGTATATGTAATATAATATAATAAATTAATATAATATGTATATAATATTATATTATATTATATTATATTTTATCTCAGATCCTAGCACGCAATTTGTCGGCTAATGCAACAGCCCGTAAACCGGTACGACGTTTATTCGTTGCACTTTCAAGACCAGAACAAGTACCTATCGAAAAAGCTGCACAAATACCCCAGCTTAGAGACGAATTGGTACCAACTGGTATCAGTACTTTGCCACTTATGGAAGAACTCAAAAGGGAACACGAAAGTTTGACTCAAAAAAAAGGAAGAATTCAAGACGCCTTAGACACTTTGATTCGAATGCAACGAAAGTAAGTTCTTCTTATTTTTCTTCTTTTTCTTCTTCTTCTTCTTCTTTGGTCATAATTAATTTTTACGAGTTTAGAACGAAGCCGCTCTCTGCTTTTTCGAATCCCAACAAGAACTTTCTTTCTTATTTTCTCACGATTACTTTAACTTTTTCCAGAGAGAAAATGAATTCTCTTATAATAGTTTGGGTTTACGTTCGAGCCCTAAAACATTTGTTTAAATCTATATTATATTAATAACTTCCCGGGGAAAAGTTCGTGCCAATTTTTTGGCTAGAAAAATCTAACGTTAACGGTTTCATATTTCGATATGCGTTTTTAAATACATGAACTGCTGGTGGTTCCTTTAAAAATGGTATGAGTCCATTTCTTTTTTTTTTTTCTTTTTTTTTTTTTAAAGAAAGAATAATAAATTTAGATTAATTTCAATTAGGCACGAATGACTTCGTTTTCATATTATTAAAATAACGAAACCATTGCGATATAATATCCTTACGAATTAATCCAACAAAATATAAAATAAAATGTTTTCATTTGAAAAAAAAAAAAAAGGAAAAAAACATCATACGAATTCATTTTGCTTTTCAAATAGCAAACTATTAAATATTTCGAAATAAGAATAATTAAATAAATTAACGATTTATATTATATCGAAATATATATTATAACAGTTTAAAAAGTGTAAAATTAAATATAAATTTCGTAGCAGTATGATACTTATGTTAGATTATATTAATCATTCGTATAAAATATTAACAAGACAATGTATTTAATCGTAAAAGAAAAAAAACAAACAAACAAAGTAATCGTAACTTATCAGAAAATATATTATTTTTTATGTTAGAAGCGCCGAAGGTAATCTTTATACAAAGGTGGCCGAATTGCAAGAAAACATTTCCATGAAACGTTTCGAGTTAGGTGTTGCAAAATTGGATCTTGCTGCTGTACAAGCACAGGTATAGTACATTACCTTATTATATATATATATTTATATGTATGTAATAAATATATTAAATATAAAATATTTGTCGAATTTCACTATACGTACGTTATACAAATGTTGAAATATGCAACTTACTCCAATATAAATGCATACTCGTATTTTACATGTGTATGTATGTATCATTGTATATACATATACGTGTAATATCCATTGACGTTTATATTCCGTTCGATGTCTGTCGTGATGATGGTCCACAGTTATGCAAGTATTATATCGTACGAATTTTAATATGAAACGTATGCAGTGCAACTACCGCGAATCTTTTTTTTTTTTTTCCTATGGATGCCAATGAATCCCATATGAAATTCATATTTTCAAAGAAAATCGCATAAATCATTTATATTGTGTCACAAATATATACACAGATACATTTTATCACCTAGAGAAACGATCAAGACAAAATGTATTTTTATTCTTCATTCGTAAATTTTATTCCGTCCGGTATATAAATAAATGTGTCTCTCTGTATTCGTAAAAAACATTTTTTTTCATTATTTTTTTCTTCTTTTGAAATAGTTCACTATGTCTATACTTTTTTTTTTGTTTTCTATAACGCTAGACAATAAATAAAAACAAATAATAAAAATGTAGAAATATAGATTTTCTTTCGAGATAACAAATGAATACCTTTTTTTATTGGTGAGAAAATTCTACTTTACTTTTTCTCTCTCTCTTTCTCCCCTTACGTCTTACATTTCTAATTTTCATTTGTAGAATATTCATAGCGAACAGTTAGAAAAGCAAAAGGCTAGGTTCTTCTTATGGTTTCTTTTGAAATGGAACTTTTCTAAATATAGTCGTAAGTCGCATAGTCGAAAAGCTTTCACGCTGATAAAAAAATTCACCAGAAGGATTTCTACCAAAGAATTCGTATTATTAAATACACATATAAATATATGCATGTAAATATATTATATATATACACATACATGGCGTTGCAACTGAAGGATGCCACATAAATATTGTTTTTTTTTTTTTTAATGACACGACAAAGTTTCAAAATAGTGATGTAATAATTACGAAAAAAAAAATTGTTTCTTGGAAGATATAATTTTTTTTTTTTTTTTCATGGATTTTTTCAAGATACTTTTTTCATATAATTAAAAACAAAGAAAATAATTGAGTGGCCTTTTTTCAACTAGGACACCCTTTATATTCTGTTAGATACGAAAAAATAAGAAAGAAAAGAAAAACTATCAGCGATAAAAATCCAACCCTTATCGGTCTTTAGATTATTATACACGATTCTTACTACGTGATTTTATCTGCAAATATGCAACCAAAATTTCAATATTGTAATAATAACACATTATCGTTAGAAATTATTAATTTTTTGAAAGAATATTACTAACATATGAAACTATATATTAAACAATTATTTAATAATTATTTATTAAATATCAATATATGTTTTGTCTTGTCACCGATCGGTTAAAATAATAAAAAAAGAAAAAAAAAAGAAATAAAGATAAATGAAAAATAATATTTTGCGAAAGAGTTAACGAAAAGATAGAAAGAAAGTAAGAAGGTAGTAATAAAAAAAAATAACAAAATTACGCGATAACACAAAACAACAACGATCAAACAAAGACTAACAATAAACTCTAGGACTGTAAATGGGTGTCCGGAAAAATCGAAATCATCACTTTAAAAAGAAATAAAAGTTCATCCTAATGGCATTAGAGATCGTTGGCTATAAATGGATAAAAGGAAGAACTGTTCTCGAAAATGACCTCGAAGGAAGAAAGTTCTTAACGTTTTCTTGGCACGTGCTCTTGTACTCACGTGTACTTTCTCTCTCTCTTTCTCTTTCTCTTCCCCATTCTCTATTTCACTGGGTTGTCTTTCTCTCGAAAAGCTCGAAAAGCTCTTCTACCTCGTCCATCGTAATATCTGTGAGTGGTCGACAAAAGCCGAAGGCGCTTAACTTGCCGCATCGTGTTCCGTTTCTATTGCCGAGCGAGGTAAATTGAAGGATACTTTTGAAAAGAAAAAGAAAAATGCTCGAGTAAACTAAAGAGAGAAAGAAGAGAAATACAAGTACTATAGGAGGAGGAGTAAGAGGAGGGTGGGTGGGTGGTTGGGAAGAAGAAGAAGAAGAAGAGGATGATGATTACGAAAGAGATGGAAAAGAAAAAGGTGGAAGATGCAATTTGATTCGAGTAAGAAGAATGAGAAAAGTAGAATAAAGGAGTGTACTGGTTGAAGAATAAAAGGTGGAAAAAGGAAACCTGGTGGGAGTAGAATAAGAGACACTGGAAGAGGAAGATTGGGGGGTGTAAAAGGAGAAAGAGGGTAAGAAGAGGGTAAGAGGGAAAAATGCATGCCGAGCATTTGTCACTCTCCACTTAAGAGGTCGAAGTCTCTAAAAGGAAAGTTGCCCGATTAAAATTACCTTTCTTCTCTCACTTTCATTCTCTCTTTTTATTTATTTATTTATTTTTTTTTCTATCTCCCTCTCTCTCTCTCTCTCTCTCTTTTTTACTCACCTATTTTCATTAAACTCTCTCTCATTCTCAATCACTTTTGTTCGTTGTTTTCTCGAACAATAAATGATAAACAATTATTATTATTATTATTATTATTATTATTATTATTATTATTATTATTATTATTATTATTATTATTATTATACAACGACTGACTATACGCTCAAATATAATTCGAGTTTACGCGCTTTTAATGTTCTTCTCTGCAACGTGAAATGATGAAAAGAGAAAATATATATAATTAAGCTTCTTAGTCGAGATTTACTTGGTGGAATTCATATACAGACAATTTCAAATTTCACGTTTACGATAAATCACATAGATTTGTTCGATCACGTTTACTAATTTGTTGTATTTTTTGTTTGTTTTTTTTTTTGTATAGAAATCATTTACTCTTAAATGTGATTTATGTGTGATTTATCGTCAATTTATATAAAGTGCATAGATAACAATATGATTTTATTGACTATCTTGTTACGTTCAGCTTTGAATTAGAAACATGAATATTTGAATAGGTGAGAAAGAGAGAGAGTGAGATAGAGATCAAGAGATATAAATGAACTAAATTATGCATAAAGCTACTAACTCTCAACGAACTCAAGTTGAATAAATTTAGTTTGAATAATTTCATTTGAATAAAAACAAGTCAATATATTTTTTTTTTTATCGAGTATTCGATTGTGTTTTATTATTTATATATCGTCTTTTTACAAATATTTTTAACGATCTATTTAATATTGTATTAGTACACAATATTACTATCATCATTATCATCATCAATAATGTTTTTTTAATTCATATAAAACTTAAAATATAAAACAACACTTCAGTCCCATAAGTTGATAATTTTGTTTTGCAAATTATATAAATGACAAAGTTATTTAATCGTAAATTGTGTGCTAAATTGAAACTAATTTCGTATAATCTCGCAGATCGATAGGTTTCTACATAATTAGGATCAAATGATCTAAAATGAATAGCACTCAGAGTGTTAGCTATTATAACTAGACATTGGTTTATAGTATTCACATATAACATATATATATACACGTTTTACCACGTATAATATATACATATTACATATATAGACACATGCCAATACGTAAATTCGATATCAAAAGCACAAAAGGGAATCTGATATATTATGTTTGATCTGGTGGTAGCCAAATGACCGACCTAATTCCAAACGATCTCACGATTCCTCTCGAGACCCCGACAAAGTTCTGAATTTGACTTGTGACACGCGTGTGACTCTATACCTCAATTCAAGATTAATTTCTAATCTAATCTTCATGTATATATATATATATTACATTTTAATATTGAAGTTATTTACAATATACAATAACGTATATTATTATTATTATTTCTGGTTAATTAATTATTCTGGGTTCAATATTGTTTATCCAAAATAATTTGTTTATTATCGAAACAGAAAAATGTGATCAATAAGATTCTTCTTGTTTTTTTTTTCTTTCTTTTTTTTTTTTTTTCTTTTCTTGTGTTCCGAATATCTGTAAAGCAACGGAAAAAGAAAGAGAAAAAAGAAATAGGAGAAATAAATTAGAACGCGAATCGATGAATCAATTATATTGATGCTTTATTAATCCCTTACAAGTGTGCACGGCGACGCACTGGTAGACGCATTATGCAAAATTAGGATGGAAATATAGGGAAATACATAAACCTTATTCACACGAGCTTTCCACTTGAATTATCATCCCCCATTATAATTGCAACGTTTACGCAATAACCCAAGCATAAGATATACAGAGTTATATCATGTCTAATTACGAACAAACTATACAGGATTGTCTTGTAAATTCCTTTGATAATACAATAAATACATACTATATCTATATATATACGATATTGATTTATGTTCGAAATATTAATGTATAAGAATAAAACCAAATAATCGGTCTTTCACCGACGTATTTGGTATGTGTTGACATATCATCATGTGAATCTTGACATTCTCCAATTTCGGTCTTTTACGGTAACATATATATTTATATATAGATACTAGAATCATTAAACGCAAACGAAAAAAAAAAAAATGAAGAAACTTTTTTCTCAATACATGTGTATATATATATATATATATATATATATATATATATATATAACGATCGAACGTTTATTTATAACATTTTCCGATCGATTACTTACCTCAATTTAATTATTTCTCGATGATCGAAAGGAACGTCTGATCTATTCAATAGTTGTTCTCTCAAACGTGAACAATGAATTTGACAAATTGACCATTCTTGAGTAAATAGAAGCTGTCCGATTTGGAAACAAGGGATGATTTTGTAACCACGGTTAAACCGAGCTGTCCAATCGGAAACCGTTTTGAAAATTGGACGCTCCAATGCCACGAATATTTCGTATGATGATGATAATAATAATAATAATAATAAATACACGCGAGAAACAATGAAATTTAAACGAAACGTTTATACTCTCGTTTGTTATATCAGAAAAATATAATATATGATAATTTTGAACGAATCGGTGTATAGGTAACACGTTTTTTTGTTCATTTCTTTATTAAATATATTACATAACTATAGAAACTATATTTTAATATAAACGATATAATAAATACATTTCTCTCGATTCTTTAAATTTAAATAGACTTGTAAAATATATTATTATAATTATAATGGTATAACAAAAAAACTAACAAAAAAAAAATTATGAAAATAAATACGTGAATAACAATGAATATATTATAATTATAACGGGACAAATTAAATTAGACTTGTGTCATTAAATTAAAATTTTCACTTTATGTATTATATTATATACCATTTGCACGATTCGCACGACGAGATAAACAATCCCATTTTAAATATTAAACAAATTGGCCTATTTGTGTGTATACGAACATATATATATATATAATATATTCCATGTTTTCTTTCACTCTTATTTTTTTTCCCACCCTTTTTTTTGAATAAAGTCTATTCATTTGGTTCACGAAAAAACGGAACAACTAAAACGTGAGAAGAGAGTTTAGGTCACTAATGAAAAGAAGAGGTACAAGTACTACTTACGTGTGTGGCTTTGAATAAAAAATGTTTGAACGATCGAAAGTGGTTGTAAATAATAAAAGCAGGTTTGGAAGGGGGCCGAGGGGTGAGGGGGCAGAATGATGGAGAAAAAAATGAGAAAGGAAAGAGAAACAGAGATACAACAGAGAAAGGGAGAGAGAGTGAAAGGTAGTGGAGGGGTAGGGGGATGGGGGTAGGGTGGAAGGAACGAAGATCAAAAGAAAAGAGAGGGAAAGGGAGAAGGGTGGGGTGGGGTGGGGGGAGGGGTAGAAAAAGAGAAAACTGTTGGATAAACGACGAATAAATACGGCGCGCAATCGCACGACATGCGCTCTGACAACTGGGTCATCGTCGAGCATGAGCGCCTGAAAATCCATTCCCTGGTCTCTCTCTCACACTGAGTCTAGCTAGCTACCTAGGTCAGGACAGCCAGGCAGGCAGGCAGGCAGGCAGGCAGGCAGACAGGCAGGCAGGATACCCAAGCTCACGTCGATATTCGTCATAGGTGCAAAATGGGCTGGACTACGTTACGTACAAGAGTCGTTAGTATTTTATTCTCATTAAATATAAATCTATCACATTATCTATCATCATCATCGTCATCATCATTGTCGTCGTCATCGTCATCGTCATCGTCATCGTCATCGTTATCAGCAGATTTATTTTATCTCTTATTAGTCACATGGTTTTGTCTTATCAAAGAAACCCTTAAGTATTTTCTTTCTCTTTCTCTCTTTCATCACCTCTCCCCCTCCACCTCTTTTTTCCCTCTCCTCGCCACTCCTCCTACTTTCATTAATCTCTAGCATTACGGAGGCTGCGTCAATAAAAACATCTGTTCATCATATTAGTGTATCCTTCTATTATTTTAAACGAGATCATCCACCATATACTCTATCACTCATATTTATTTATTTATTTATTTATTTATTTATTTATTTATTATTGTAATACGAGTTTCGAGTGATAATAAGGTTGCATTTTGATAAGGTGAATATCATATCTGGGATTAAAGTAGTGTTGTAGATTCTGAATGAATCGTTCGGTGGTTGGGTGAGTGGGTGGTTTGGGTGGTTTGGGGGAGAAGAGACAGCTGACACCTTACGCGATGCTTATGACATACGTGTTACGTTTCGTCGAGATATTTTACGCATTAAACAAATGTTCTTTATATAATTTTGAATAAATAATTATATAAACGCGCATGAAAATTAAAAAAAATAAAAGAACAATATTACTAATTTAATTTATATATATAAATTTATATTATAAATATTATTTACATTGATATATATATATAGAATGTCCATCATCCAACACAAATATTATAACACTCATAAATGCATTTAGCGTTTATTATTCCCCATCTCTCTCGTAAATATACATTACATTTAAAATATTATAATAATAATAATAATAATGAATAATATATATTATATAAAATATTGATATCACACACATAAAATATAAATATTATAACATTCATTTTGTAAATGCATTTTAACGTTCGTTATTTCATTTCTCTCGTAAGGATACATTGTTTAAAATATTTTATTCTGCCTGTCTCTCTCTCTTTCTCTCTTTCTCTGAGTCACTCTATCTTTTTCTCTCTCTCTCTATCTATCTCTCTTCTACTCTCTCTCTTTCTCTCTCTCTGTTTCATTGAACGCAGTCGCGGTAAAGTACAGCGGTCCGTGGCCTCCTCGTCTTCCAACTTCTGCCGTTTCAGGAATAATGGACTCTTCTGGGAAGTCCAGCGTATATACACGTGTATATATACATATACCATCACCCACACACACGGAATGATGATGCATCCCGCATCCCATCCGTCCATCGCATATGCACGCAGCAGCTGCATATAGAGTCACTCTCCGAGAACAGAAATAGACAAAAACGGGCGACACACAACGTTCAAAGTCCGTGTTCCCGATATTTACGAGTATTCAGTCCTTTCCGCTAATATCCAATCAGATAATTCATTATCTCAAGGATAGATTCTTTTGTTCTTTATCTTGTTTACATTTTCTTGACCTTCGATTTATTATTTTTTTTCTTTTTTTTTCCTATAACGAAATAACCACCAATCGTTGACTGATATACGCGTTTAACCCTTTAAGTGCTGAATACTTTTAACTGATGAGTATTTTCTATGAATGAAATAGTTTATTATTAATGTGGACCAGATAATATTATATTTAATATATTACAATTTTTCTTTCTAACAATATTATTTTCATTTGACAAAATAAAACAACAAATATTACATTATTTTTCATTAACATTGATAAAAAAAACACGCGCGTATCAACTTTTAGCAAACGCATATATGCGTCTATAGCACTCAAAGGGTTAATGATATAACGTAAGAGAAGAACAATACTTTCTATCTGTTTCTATCTCTATCTCTTTCTCTTTCTATCTTTTTCTCTTTTTCTCTCTCTCTCTCTCACACTTTTCTTTCTTTCTTGTTAGAAAAGAAAAGAAATAATATGATTGATTAATAACATATCTTATTTATATTCGAATAATTTTAGATAAAAATTAATTCTAATAATTGATCACAAATCTCGTATAACAGGAATTAAATAGGAAAAAGATTCGTGATGAATTCCGCAATGGCGCAGCCTCGATCCAATTAATGTCACCGTAACACACTAGGAAAGCATTAAAACTACATTGGCTTCGATATCAGATTTCTATTTTACTCGTTCGACAAGATACACACAACAGTTGCACGAAAAGTATACAACACCTGACGATACGTTAGAATCGTCCACTTCGCGGTGTGAGAAATTAATATTAATAGGAAAAAAAAAAAAAACAAAGTAATATAATAATAAATAGGGAGGAGGAGGAGGGGGGGAAGAGAAATTGTAGAAAAATAATAGGCGAGGTGACGGGTTTTGTCGGTTATTCGATTACGTTGTTATCAATAAAACGTCGCGAAGATGATCCTAGGAAAAATAAGGAGACGGAATTATGAGAGAAAAAAGCCGCCAGTTAAAAGGACCGAGCCAAGAATTAGCAGTAGTACGGTGAAAGTACGTATGGTGAAATTCATTTGAAGTGTATTAATGAGATTACGCGTCTAAAACATTAACGAGTTTTATTTTTATTTTTTGTTGTTTCTTGTTGTTCGTACGTACGTACGTTCACGCGTGTCACGTAAGAACAAATTAAAATATGTAATCGATTGTTTTCTTACTTTGATCTTTTTTTGTTTTGTTTTTTTTTTTTTGAGAATCTTTTTTCCTACTTTTTTTTTTTTTTTTATTTTTCTTTCATTTCTAAAACACATATTCGTAACGCATAAGAGGATAAAGTTGACACGTAGAAATTACAGTTCGTTAAGTTTTCAATTCTAGAGTTCGTTCATATTTGCAGAAGGAACTCTTCGGTGGGGGAGAGGCTGGTCAACCCGATGGGATGAGCAGCAGGAAAATGTCCAATGGTTCGACCGGGAGTACCAAACACAAATGGTTGAAAGCGTTTAAAAGTTTGAAAACGAGCTCACCGACAACTTCACCACCTGCCGACAAGTGAGGACCGTGTTTAATTCTTCGTGCCTGTCTTTTCTTTTTCTTTTTTTTTTCTTGTTGGTTTTATTTATTTTTTGTCTATTGAAATGTTATTATAAAAAGATTAGTTTGACACTCAACCTATTAGGCTCCTTATTCCAAATGTTTTTTGTATCGAGTCGTTAAATGATATTTACAATTTTATTCGCTCAAATGGGGGAGACGACACTGTCAATTGATTTTATAATGAATACTTAAATAATTTTCGTATTTATTAAATAATATTAAACAGTAATTATACGATTTAAATAGTTTCCAATTGAATTTTATATTATAAATATTTGAATCATCGTATATAGTTAGAAAAATAAAAACGTGGTAGAATGCATGGATAAAAAGGTTGAGAAATGTTGCATATCGATGAATTAGATTTAAAAAAAAAATAATTTGCATGTTTAAGGAATGAACAGAACTAACCGTAGAATTTTTTCTTTTATATTTGACTAACTTAGAGGAAAACAGGCGATGTACCATGCAGTATCAACCGTAGTTGCTTTATCCAGGTAATATACCTAATAGATATACATACTTAAACAAATATCAAAGACATATTTAATTAAATTAACTCATTCATTATCAATGTAAAAGATATCTGGCAACAGGGATTTACAAATATTATTTAATCATTTGCTCTGGCAACATATTTCGCAGATAATTGTGCCAAAATTTGTCTAACATAACACACAATTTAAAATTAGAATTGTCGCGCGCGATAAAATATGAATACTAATTTTGTTTATTAATAATCTTGTGTATAATATGATATTTTTTAAAACAATTTAAAATACGTAAGGACACGAATTATTTTTTGCACATAACTAATTTTTTTATTAACGTTGGTAGGTGAAATATTGCTTTTCTCCATTTTACAAAAATATGCCTTTAAAAATTATATATACATAAAAAGATAAATTTATCATTCGATTTGATTGGCTTACGAAGAAAATATATTGTAAACGTCAAAAATCGTGTACCCGGTGCCGAGCAATATGAAACCGTACTTCAATAAACAATTTCATTGCTAAAAGGTGACGTGTCTAGAACGTCATTTTTATTTCTACAATCAAACACTTACGATATATGTTCTTCACAATTTTTGTGAAAAAAAGACAAAAATATCGGGACGTACGTAACACGTCTTTTCAATGCAAGTGATGTTTGATTGATTTGAATTAATTGTCCCAACTACTACTATTACTACCAAATATCATCTCGTAAATTTAATTGCTTTTTTCTTAGTTTTTTTTTTCAAAATATTATATTTACACAAATTTTACAGCACGTTATTATTAACAATTTTGCAGAAAAAATAACGACATAGAGGATGGTCACGTGTGGCGAGAATATACCTATCGAAAGATAACACCGTGTGATGCATGCGGCCAAGTATTACGTGGTCACAGTAGGCAAGGTCTCAGATGCAGGGGCTGCAAGGTCAATGCACACTCGGACTGCATCAATCAAATAAAACCAATTAAGTGTCCAAGTTTGGCGCCAAAAAAGAGCGGAGGTATACCATTGTTACGTCGTCAGAAAACACAAGCACCCGTTGATGAAACACCACCAGCTGATCACAGTGAGTATTCAAATTTACCGAACGCAGCATCACCCCCAACCACCCTCCACCCCCTCCCCC